AGGAAGGAAGGAAGGAAGGAAGGAAGGAAGGAAGGAAGGAAGGAAGGAAGGAAGGAAGGAAGGAAGGAAGGAAGGAAGGAATCCCACGCTGCAGGAAGGGGGTACCCGTGAACCCCTCGGGGTCAATGATGATCCACTCCACCACGTAGTTTTCCTCAGTCTCCTCGTCCTCTTTTATCATGAGCTCCATGGAGATCTCCTTAGCGTTGTACATCAGCGAGCTGGGGAGAGGGAGGGAACAGTCCCGTGAGGGCCTGCCACAAAACCCCTTCCAAGAAGACTAACTTCTTTAACCAGCTGTCTTCTGGGAAGGGGCTGTGGCTCAATGGAAGAGCCTCTGCCTGGCATGCAGGAGGTCCCAGGTTCAATCCCCGGCATCTCCAGTTAAAAGGACCAGGCAGGAGATGATGGGAAAGACCTCAGTCTGAGACCCTGGAGAGCTGTAAAGAGGGGTCGTGGCTCAGTGGAAGAGCCTCTGCCTGGCATGCAGGAGGTCCTAGGTTCAGTCCTCGCCACCTCCAGGTAAAAGGACCAGGGAGGAGGTGGTGGGAAAGACCTCAGCCTGAGACCCTGGAGAGCTCTAAAGAGGGGCCGTGGCTCAGTGGAAGAACCTCTGCCTGGCATGCAGGAGGTCCCAGGTTCAATCCCCGGCATCTCCAGCTAAAAGGACCAGGCGGCAGGTGATGTGAAAGACCTCCGCCTGTGACCTTGGAGAGCTGCCGCCAGTCTGAGTAGACAATTCTGACCTCAATGGACCAAAGGTCTGATTCAGTAGTCATGTGTGTTCAAGTTCATGTGTATTCAAGTTCAGGCCTGAGTTTGGGATCTAAACTATGGGTCACGTGGAGCATGGACTGATGTGACGCCTGAGCTGAACTGCAGCTTGCTGGCCACTCTCAGCTTTTGGCAGAGGATGGAGTGATTGGGAGAGCGCCAGGGGAAGTACTAGCAGGTACCGTAGCCCCTCCCAGGCACCATGTTGGGAACCCCGCGTATCGGGGCCGTGGCTCAGTGGTAGAGCATCAGCTTGGCACTCGGAAGGTCCCGGGTTCAATCCCCGGCATACCCAGTTTAAAAGGACCAGGCAGCAGGTGATGTGGACGACCTCTGCCTGAGACCCCGGGGAGCTGCTGCCAGTCTGAGTAGACGAGTCGGATCTTGATGGACCAAGGATCTTACGCAGAGGCAAGAGACAAACAGAAGTGGTTTGCCATTGCCTGCCTCGGCATAGCCCCCCCCCCCCCGGACTTCCTTTGTGGCAGCTATCTGAAGAAGTGAGCAGCGACTCACGGAAGGTCACGCCCTGACACATAGTCCGTTAGTCTTTCAGGTGCTCCTGGACTCTTGGGCTGATTTTGCACTAGAGCTGCCTCGATGTTGCGCCGCCGTTTGCCCCGATACTATTGGTCAGTTTTGTTGGAAATGTATGTGTTTACAAGGTCTGATGATTCAGTCATTATAGGGTTAACTTGTTTTCTTAGTATTGCTATTGTTAGACTGACCTGGAAGGGATACCTGGCAGTAAGCCAATGGGGAATTAGCCCGAGAAAAGTAGCTTCTACTGTGATACAGATTGGTCATTTGTTTCAGGTGACTTCCTTTCTAGGGGTCAAGAAGAAGGAGAGATTCTCCATTACCTGTGTGCTAGGTTTGACTATAGGCAGCTTAGAAATGTAGCTGTTAGTGTTATGTTAATTTGTAGTAATCCCGTGTACCTTTTACCCTTAGATTTAAAGGTTTTTAAAAGCAAAGAAATCTCTTCTTTCCAATAGAGCAAGATCCATTAATAGTCTAAGTATTAAACACTTTTTGACTATTTTACAACAAGTTTCACACCCGAAGCTGCGGGGCTGCATTTTGACTCGCGGCTTCGCCCGATTTCCCCCGCAGTTTCGTGATCCTGTTTTTTGAGGCTCACGAAACTGCGGAGGAAATCGGGCGAAGCCGCGGGTCAAATGCAGCGCCGCGGCTTCGGGGGTGAAATTGACCGATAGTATTGGGGAAAACGGTGGCGCAACATCGAGGGCAGCTCTAGTGCGAAATCAGCCTCTCTCTTTTCTACTGCGACAGACAGACTCACACAGCTGTCTATCTTGATCTATCTCGGTGGCTCTCCAGGATATCCGGAAGAGAATGTTCCTTCCTGGTCCTTGCGATCTGAGTTTCTTTAACTGGACATGCAAGAGATGGAATTGGGAACTTCGGGCATATCTGGCCTCTACCACTGAGCCGCAAGTGTTTCTTTGGCAGCTAATTTCCCCCAAGGGTATCCTTTTGCCTCACCCTCCATAAAAATAAAATAAAATTCTGCTGGCTGTACACCAACTCACACGAATTTGTGTGCTTTTACACACACTGGAAAATGCGCATTCGATCCACTTCTAATGCATTTTGAAACTGTTCCCCCCCCCCTGTGTGGGTTTTCCTGTATCCTGATTTTCTCATTTGTGTGTTGCTTTGATTCCCCCCCCCCCGGATCCACACGTGTTTTGCTCCCTCTAGTGGTTGATTCAATATTACATGGCTTTATGTCCGGCATAAAAACCTGCACTTTAAATCTCCAGGGAGATATGCCGGACATAGAGCGATGTGATATCGAATCGACCACTAGGGGGTGAAGAACACATGTGGAACGGGGGGGGGGACCCTGAAGCAACAGGAACGCACAAGCAAGGGAAATGAGAATGCAGAAAATCCCCGTGAAAGCACCTGAATAAAAGTAGACGTCGCCCTCCTGTGGCCTACGCCCTGCTGGAAACCCTATGTCCCCCCAAAAAATGAAGTAAGGAGACGGGACAGCCGACAATTCCTCACCTGAACTTCAAGGTGCAGTTCTGCCAGTCGAAGGGAAAGAAGTTGACGTTGATGGGGCAGGCACTTCGGAAGATGGCGGGTGGGAGCCAGTACACACCGCCGTTGCTGGAGAGCAGAATGTTGCAACTGTAGGTGATCTGGAATTCACCATCATTGCTGCAGAGGGAGACAACACCATGGGGCCCAAGAAAGAGCCTAGTTCAGGCCAGAGAATCTTGTCCTTATAGGTCCTAGTTCAGCCCAGAGACTCTTGTTTTTATAGGGCCCAGTTCAGCCCAGAGAATCTCGTCCTTACAGGTCCTAGTTCAGCCCAGGGACTTCTGTCTTTATAGGGCACAGTTCAGCCCAGAGAATCTCATCTCTATAGGGTGTAGTTCAGCCCAGAGAATCTCATCTCTATAGGGTGTAGTTCAGCCCAGAGACTCTTGTCCTTATAGGGCCTAGTTCCACCCAGAGACTTAGTTCAGCCCAGGGAATCTTCTCCTTATGAGGCCTAGTTGGGCCCAGAGAATTTTGTCTTCATAGGACCTAGTTCGGCCCAGAGAATCTTCTCCTTGCAAGGCCTAGTTCAGCCTGGAGAATCTTCTCCTTCTAGACACAGAGCAGACTGGACTTAACTGGGGAAGTTCCTGGGGGGGGGCTGCTGCTCATGCGGAGTATTACTGGCCTCCACCAAGAAGCTACAGTCTGCCGATCCAGCACTGTTAAAGACACAGGAGCAGGGCCCGGCCAAAGAAGAACTTGGCAGCCCTAGGAAACGGCTCTGGCTAATACTCACTTGTTCTCCAGGACGATTTCGGGCAGCCACAACATGTCTGCCGGGAGGCGGAGGACGCTGATGCCTCCAAATTCTGTCTCGTTCCACTGCAGCCTGTAGTCAGTCCATCCCTGCGGATAGTCGAAGAGAAGCCCTCCAGATGTTCGGTCACTGACCATCTCTCTGTCTCTAGTACACCTTTATCCTCCCCTTCCTTCAATGAACTCGTGGGGGGGGGGCATAACATGCCTCTCCTGTATCCATTTTATCCTCATGACTGCCAGCGAGGTAGGGTAAGTTGAGCTACAGAGAGTGACTGGCCCAAAGTCACTCAGTTTTTGTGGCAGTGTCGACATTCGAACCTGGGTCTCTCAGCTCCCAGTCTGGTACTCTAACCCAGGCCTTGACGACTTTTCTTTGGCTCTCGGAGCCAGCCCCATATTTTAGGTGCCAGACTCTTCTTTCAGCCATCCGGGCTTTATATTTTAATAGTATTTTATCACCGCTGCTACCGAAAAACGGACAACTAAGCCCTTCACCGTTTATCGTAATTTTATTTGTGTTATGACAAAGGCACTGTAGGATATAAATAAATATGGGGGGTAAGCCTGGCTGTCATCATTATAAAAACCTCACAATAAAATCATTGCTGAAAACACTAGGCATCGTGGCAACCTGGCGCCTGGAGTTTGTCCCTCTAACCACTAACCCGCACTGGAGATAGCTTAAGATGGGTAGCTATGTTAGACTGTATGTAGTGGTAGAAACGAACAAGAGCCCAGTAGCACCTTAAAGACTAACAAAATTTGTGGCAGGGTATGAGCTTTCGTGAGTCACTGCTCACTTCTTCAGATACGGCTAGAACATGAGTTCATCTGTCCTATATATTGAAAGGGAAGTGATTTGAGAGGCCAAATGACATTAGCAGGCGAATGACAATAGCCAGTGAATGACAATAGCAGGCATGTTTGGATTAGGTGTGATATGCAGAGGGGTAGCAGGCGTGGAGAAATCAACACTGGTAATGAGACAGGAAACCTAGGTCACAGGTTTTTCAGTCCAGGTTTTTGAAAAACTAGTGGGGGAACATTTTCACCTTCCAGGACATTCAGTTGCTGACCAAATAGTAGCACTTTTCTTACAAAGGGATTTCGAAGGGATATTAGAGAGACTGCTGAATTGCAACTGATAATGAAGCTCAAGAGAATGCATCCTCCCGGACTGAATCGAGACCTAGGTTTTCTGTCTCATTACCAATGCTGATTTCTCCATGCCTACTACCCCTCTGCATATCACACCTAATATAATCACACTTGCTATTGTCATTCACCGGCTATTATCATTTGGCATCTGAAATCACTCCACTCTCCAATATATAGGACAGATGGACTCACATTCTAGCTGCACCTGAAGAAGTAAGCGGTGACTCATGAAAGCTCACACCCTGCTGCAAATTTTGTTATTCTTTAAGGTACTACTGGATTCTTGTTCTTTTCTACTACTCCACACTGGCTTTATGGCGTGCCTTGCCTGAAATTAAACTCCACACTGCTAATATAATGGCTGGAGTTTCTCAACTTCTTTTTTCTGTCTTATATGGAGACAGCACCGGTGCCAGAGGCAGATTTCGAGAAGTGTTGCTTTTTCTATTTCCAAAGAAAGGTAAGGCCATTTTGCTTCTTTGCTCAAGAGTCAAGAGGTGAAACCTGGGATTTTGTGCCCCAGGATTGTGGCCTTGGCCTACCTGAGTTGCCTAAGAGGCCAACAATTCTACTTACGTGCTCAATCCATACGCTGGTGGTGAGTGTTTCATCCGCCTCTTTCTGTAACAGAATAGAAGGGAGGCTGATTAAAATCAGAATTTCAGAAACAAGTTGTTGTGAGCCAGTCAGCCTCCTCCCCCCCTGAGAATGAGGAACTGGAAGAATCAGGCGCTGCACCAGTGGAGTGCCTGCCTGAGCAGCTGGCTGAGCCAGCCAAAGAAATGTCAGGAGACGAGGGTTGTTAATTCTGGCAGGTGACAAAGGAAATGGGACAGATATCAGAGTGTCAGTCAACACCAGGATCTCCTGAACCAGCTGAATGCAGGAGACATTGGGAGCATTTGACAGCCTGGGAGAGACGGAGAAACACCCACTTAATTGCACAACAGCGATCAGCACTAGTTACTGAAGCAGAGTCATTTCAGGAGCAAGAATGACAAGCCGGGGAGAAGCAACGCCTGCACTTCGGGGGTGAGTCAGCTAATTAGGCTGATAAAATGAGCATGTCGAGCAGAGCTCAGTGGAAGTAACTTTGCTTGCCATTGCTCTGCGAGCTGATTCTCTCAGCAAACAGAGTATTGCCTTGCTTGCTGCCTTGCACTCTGTTCTGCTAACTTGTGCTTGCTTTTCAGCTAGAAACCTCGACCCTGTCTCCTGTCCTGGCTTCAGGGCCAGCCCCAGGTTCTTTTGCACACTAGCCCCCCACCCGTTTTGAAATCTGCAAATATAGCTGGAGTTACCTTAGGACCAGTGTTCCCTCTAAGCTGGAGTTTTTTAAAATGTAAGTAATTATTATCAAGCATTTGTATTATGGTACAAATTACAAAACACACTCCAATACAATATATACAAATATTTAAAGTGGAACAAATTTAGAGTCCAGTGGCACCTTTAAGACCAACAAAGGTGTGCTCATGGAAGGGGCAGCAATGGGGAGTCCTCCAGGTGGGCGAGAGAGTTGGGGGAGCCTGGGGGCTGCATGGAAGTCAGGGGGCATTGGCAGGAAGTCAGGGGGCCAGGCCCCGAAATGCCCCCACTGTAGCTATGGGCCTGCCCTCCGGGGAGTTGGCAACCCTCGTTTGGGACCGGTTAAATGCCCACCCCGTAGTGGCCGACTGGTACCTTCGGGCATGCAGAAGAACTCACCAAGGACACGAGATTGGAGAGGGTCAGCGCCAGGTAAACGGTCAGGCTCTCGTCTTTGGAAGCCACCGGCCTCAGGTACTTGTTGTAGCTTTTCTCCGTGAAGAGATGATTAATGAGGGTCTCCTCTATGTTTACAGCTCGGGAGCCTGGAGAGGCAGAGAGACAAGGGTACAAGACAGGCGGAATAGTCGTCTTCCAGTTGGGAAATTCCTGGAGATGTGTGGTGGGCGCAGCCACAAAATGGCTGCCTCGGGAGACAGGGCCTGCCACAAAATGGCTGCCGCGGCTTACTCTCAGACAAGCAGTGGGCAGATCCTTGTGGTGGGGAGGCGACAGGACACGGGGGGGGGGGGAAATGTGACCCAAAAACTGGAATCAAGAACCACAAGGGTAAGAAAGAAGTCTAATAAAGGGTCAATATCAAAAAACCGAGTTGAAACTGATAATATACAAAACTACATGTACTTATTAGAAAGGCAGTTAAAAACAAATAAAGGCCCAATGAAAGCCTTGTCGAAAAGTTCAAGGGGCCTGACGCATTTCCGCCCTATTGGGGGCCTTCTTCAGAGGCCAAACAGTTTGAGGTACACACGTTACAATCCTCCGGTATATATAATTCTATTTTGGTCATGGACTCCCCTGAACATTCCAACACGCTCCAAAATCCGTTCGCTCTCTGATCTGTCATTCAGAGGGTCTCCCTATCCACTGGCTGCTTTGCCCGAGTCCTGCCTCTAAACAATTTGCTGTTCCTCTCCCACCCACAGCCAGTCAGAACACAGAGGTCATTTGCATATGTGGCCTGATTCGCCTTTGCCTCGGAACACAGAGGTCGTTTGCATATGCGGCCTCACTGGCCTTTGCCTCTAACATTCTAAACAGTTTGCTGTTGATGTTCTGAGGTAAAATAAATTTCCCCTTAGTGTCTGTTGGGGGAAACCATGGTTGCAAATCTCCAGGTGAGGGCTGGAGATCACTCAGAATTACAACTGCTTTCCAGATGACAGAGATCAGTTCCCCTGGAGAAAATGGTGGACTCTGTGTCCTTATATCCTGCTGAGATGGCCCCTGTATGACAGCCAATGTGACGAAGCAGTCAGGGCTTCAGCTATTAAAACTGATGTCCAGATGACTAAGATCAGTTCTCCTGGAGACAATGGCTGCTTTGGGTAGTAGATTCTATGGCATTATACCCTGCTGAGGTCCCTCCCCACCCAAAATCCTGCCCTCCCCAGGCTCTACCCCTCAAATCTACAGGTATTTCCCAACCCAGAGTTGGCAACCGTGTAATTCGCTATGGAACCACTTTCCAGTCCCTTGGAACCCAGAAAACATGGCACAGGAGGAGGTGCTTTTCTACCTTAGCTGTGACTGCATAGCCCCAAATTAACATAAGCCAACCTCCAGGCGGCACCTGGAGATCTCCAGCTATTAAAACTGATGTCCAGATGACCCAGATCAGTTCTCCTGGAGACAATGGCTGCTTTGTGCAGTAGATTCTATGGCATTATACCCTGCTGAGGTCCCTCCCCACCCCAAACTGAACCTGGGCACTCCTGAGTTGCTAAGGACGATGGGAAAGACCTCAGCCTGAGACCCTGGAGAGCTGTAAAGAGGGGCCGTGGCTGAGTGGCAGAGCCTCTGCTTGCCCTGCAGAAGGTCCCAGGTTCAATCCCCGGCATCTCCAGTTAAAAGGAACAGGCAGGAGGTGGTGGGAAAGACCTCAGCCTGAGACCCTGGAGAGCTGTAAAGAGGGGCCGTGGCTCAGTGGAAGAGCCTCTGCCTGGCATGCAGAAGGTCCCAGGTTCAATCCCCGGCATCTCCAGTTGAAAGGACCAGGCAGGAGGTGATGGGAAAGACCTCAGCCTGAGACCCTGGAGAGCTGTAAAGAGGGGCCGTGGCTCAGTGGAAGAGCCTCTGCTTGGCACGCAGAAGGTCCCAGGTTCAATCCCCAGCATCTCCAGTTAAAAAGGTCAGGCAGGAGGTGATGAGATAGACCTCTGCCTGAGACCCTGGAGAGCTGCTGCCAGTCTGAGTAGACAATACTGACAATACTGACCTTGATGGACCGAGTTTCGGATTTAGTGGAAGGCAGCTTCACGTGCTCATATGGACAAAAAAGGGTGGTTTTTATGGCATTATACCCTGCTGACATCCTTCCCCTCCCCAAACCGTGCCCTCCCCAGACTCCACCCCCCAAATCTCCAGGAATTCCGCAACCCAAAACTGGCAACCCTGGCTAGGAGTTGTATGTGGTTCCCAGGCACCCACTCCAATGAACTTGGGGGTGCTTTTGCAGATACACACATACACGCTCAGAGCAAGTACACACCATCTGAACTGTAGCTCAGCCACAGAAGTAGCCCCAATAGCCATGTTGAGCCCCCGTCACCTGTTTGCTACTGAGCTCTGCCCAGCAGGCAGAACAGATGGAATCCTAGTAGATTTCTGATGTCGACCTCTAAATTTGACTTCTTTGTTTCTTTCGGGCCACAATGCAGCAGCAGAAGTTCTGGCACCCCCTCAGCGCAACACCCCTGGCTCAGCCACAGTTCCGATTTTAAGCAAAAAGGTACTCTGAGCACATGCAGAGTACCCACAGCCCCCACCCTTGAATCTGACACTAAACGCTCAGAGAAGAGCAGACGGGGATTCCGGTGTCAGAACTTAGGTGGCGCCTGTTCAGCTCTGCCCTTGGCGTTAGCGGGAAGCGCCTGCTGGACTCCTCTCCCCCCGCGAGTCCCCGCGGGTGCCAAGAGAACCAAGCGGCATCCTTACCTGGAAGGGCAAAGGCCCAGAACAGGGTGAGCCACAGTCTCGGCCTGTCCATGCTGACACCGGCGTTGCCAGAGACACGTCCCTTCCCTCCGTCTCAGAGCGTATCTGCCGGAAAAAACGGACGGAAGTCCACGCTGAGACTCTGGTGCCGGAATGCAAATGGACAGTGGCAGGTGGTCGGCCTGGGGCGGGGAGGGACAAAATAGCAGCCCGGCGAGGAGACGAGAGGTGGCAATCGTATCCCTTCCTTCCCCCTGGTGCCAAGAGGAGACGAGCTGTTCAGCTCGCAGTAAACAAAAGTGCAAGGAACTGGCGGGATTGGGGGGCTGCCAGCAGGAAGACTTCCTCTGCCAGGAGTCACGCTAGGGTGGAGCTAGGGTTGCCAACCTCCAGGTGAGGCCTGGAGATCTCCCGGAATCACAGCTCATCTCCAGACGACAGAGAGCAGTCCCCCGGGAGACGATAGGTTCAGAGGGGAGCCCTGTGGCTCTGAACAGCTAGATTCCCACTTCAGGACCAACAAGATTTTTGGAGTGTAAACTTTTTGAGACTCAGAGCTCTCTTTGGGCCCTTTCAAACAGCCTTTGTATTTCAGGGCCAGTTTGGTGTAGCACTAAGGAGGGCGGACTCTAATCTGGGAGAACCGGGTTGGATTCCCCCACTCCTCCACGGGCAGCTGCCGGTGTGGACTGTGGGTCAGTCACAAGTTCGCTCAGAGCTGTTCTCTCAGGAGCAGTCCTGAGAAGAGCTCTCTCAGCCCCACCTGCCTCACAGGGTGTCTGTTGTGGGGAGGGGAAGGTGGCCACACTGCCAGAGAAGGTGGCGGCGGCTGCAGAGGTCCCTGTCCTCCCCAGACTCCACTCCCAAATCTCCAGGAGTTTCCCAGCCTAGATCTGGAAGCCCTAACCCACCCATTCCCCCGCCAGGACCACCTGGCAAACCTAAGGGAGCTCCAGGTCGCACCTGGAGGTAACAAAGCAAAAAGTGGAGATTGACGGTATGGAGAAACTAACAAAAGACCAAAGACCCATGACCATAATAACAAGGAATTCATAAAAAAACTTGTAAATTTTTATCAAGCATTCCAATCTGAATAAAGGATATTATACAAGATATCTCTGGTGTCAGTTCAGTATTGGAAACACCTCAAAGTCCCTACAAATGTCCTATCTGAGTCGGTCCTTCTCAGGGAAGCGATAAAGTCCAATGTCGAGGGAGACGAGGTGGTCCTGCTAACGGAGCTGTTTTATCAGACCAAATTAGGAAGCTGGATGATTAAATGCAGCATGGATTAATTATGTTTGGTTGCCGTACCTGTTCCTGAAGAAGAACTGTGGAAACGGGATATTTCCGGTGCCCCGTTAACTGGATCGCCTTGTCTCCATCAACATCGGACCTTATTGCTTCCCTGAGAAGGACTGACTCAGGAAATTTGTTGGGACTTGGAGGTGTTTTCAATATTGACCTCATCCCTGGAGGTAGGCAACTCTCTAAACCCATCCTGACACATGCAAACAGAAACATGCACTTTTCTAGGCCCACGCCACGTACGTCTTCATGCTCAACTATCTGGGTGCACAAGCAAGCCACCAAACTCCACTTTGTATCAAGTTCTCTACATCCAGACTAAAAACCATCTATAAAATGATGACAAGGTTTGAGTCTGACTGTTGGGCTGGATGGGCCATTGGCCTGATTCAACATTGGCTTCTCTTATGTTCTTATATGGAGCAGAGGTCCATCAGTGGCTGTTAGCCACAAGGTATTGACAGGAACTCTCGGTCTGGGGCAAGTGATGCTCTGTATTCTTGGTGCTTGGGGGGGGGGCAACAGCGGGAGGGCTTCTAGTGTCCTGGCCCCATTGGTGGACCTCCTGATGGCACCTGGTATTTTTGGCCACTGTGTGACACAGAGCGTTGGACTGGATGGGCTACTGGCCTGATCCAAAATTGGCTTCTCTTATGTTCTTATGAGATTGTAAGCAACTCTGAGACTCGAAAGAAGGGCGGGGTTTAAATCCAATCTCTTCTTCTCCCGTTTCAGTAGCTGGTTGGTAATGGATTTGTGTGTGTGTGTCATTTCAGACAGTCCCGTTTTCGTAACTGGCTGCTAACGGATTTTATTTTGTTCTTCACAGAAAGCTGCTTGTGTCCGGTTAGCAAAGTGTGGTTGAGCCATTGTTGAGGGAAATGGCTTTCCTCCATTTTCACCTCTTCGTCGCGCTTCTGTATAGGTGCGGTGTGCTGTTTGAAATGTCTGCAGCTCTTCCAATAGCGCCGCGCTTTTTCCCCTTGCCCTTTTTCACGGCATGATCTTTCTCGAACTTTTTTTTTTTAAATCTAAGTTGAGTGCTACAGCGGTGCCATGGAGTTGCCTATATTGTACAAGTGCCTGTCAGCTATGCTGCCATGGGGGTTGGGGAGTTCATTCTGTGTCTTGTTAATTGCTATTGCATTCCTATCTCTGCTGTTCTGCCTGTGCTGAAATGCTTATCTCTACAGATGTGCAGGAGGAGGTTGTATTGTCTGGAAGTCTCCTAGGTACCGTGAGAGACTACTGCTTCCCAGCTTTCGCCACCTAACGGTCTCCTAGTTGGTCCCGCGTGCGGGAGGGTAGCGAATTGGCCCATGCCATGGGGGGGGTGTGCATACGAATGCCCTATATCCTATTATGCTCAATGGGTTGCCACCATTCTTAGCAGTGCCTGTGTTACTGCATCTATAGCTTTGCAACAAAAGTATAACCGTTCCTGAATGCGTGTACATCGTTGTTAGCTGTGGGTTCTGACAGTGCCTTAGCATTCAAATTAGAACATTCTTTTTAAAGTTGGAGGAAGAGTGTGCCGTGAAAACGGGTGTGGGGGGGGGGGAGAAGTGTGGCGATGTTTGAAACGGCCAGGTTGCTTCAGAGATGGCTCATTAAGGGAAGAAAAATTTTCTGTATGAATCCCCCCCACCCCGGTCCCTGTATCACATTACTCAGAACCGGGCCAACAATGGATAACATCCGGTTTAGAACAGTAATGTGAAGGGGGCCTTTGTCAGATACAAGTTGGCTCGTATCTGATGAAGGCACCTTTGACACAAGTCTATAACCTGAAAATGTTGCTGGTCTCTAAGGGGCTGACGGACTCAACTCTGGAGGCCCAAGAGAAAACAGCAGCCCTGGACAACAAAGCAATCAGCTGCCATTGCAGGAGATTTCCAGGCCACACCTGGAAGTTGGCAACCCTACGAAGAGGTGTGTAGTAGAGGAAGAGGAGGAGAGTTGGATTTATACCCCGCCCTTCACTTGGAGTCTCAGAGTAGCTTACAATCTCCTCCCCTTCCTCTCCCTGCAATGGACACCCTAGGGCTCCCAAGTGGGGGCGGGGGGCGGGTAAACACCCGCTTTGGAAGCCCGATTTCTGCCGTCGCGGAATCGGGCCCCGGGGGGAACTTCGCCCCCCGAAGCGCAGCATGGCTGCGTCACCAGAGGTGACGCAACCACGTCGCTCACATTGGGGGCGTGGCCCAGATTGTCGGAGGGGAAACTCTATGGTTTTCCCTCCGACAATCTGGGCCACGCCCTCAATAAGAGCAACATAGCGTGTCACTTCCTGTGACGTGCTGGCGGCGCACGCACACATCGCCTGAGAGCTCCTGGAGCCCGACGAGGCTCCCCTGCCGCCAAAGTAAGAAGCCTTGGTAACCCTAGGACACCCTGTGAGGTAGGTGGGGCTGAGAGAGCTCTTTTGAGGACTGCCCCTGAGAGAACAGCTCTGAGAGAACTTGTGACTGACCCAAGGTCACACCAGCAGCTGCATGTGGAGGAGCGGGGAATCCAACCCGGTTCTCCCAGATTAGAGCCCAAACTCGTAGCCACTACACCAAACCGTCACGGTCCCTCCCCTCCCTAAGCCCCGCTCTCCCAAGCTCCCCCCTCAAATCTCCAGGAATCTCCGAACCTGGACGCGGCAACGCTACTTAATTCACACCGTCCGCCCTTCAGGCCACTCTGCTTCAGAGCAGGATGGAGAACGGGCCGCCTGGCTTGGAAACGGTGCTCTGTGAGGTGGGGAAAGGGTCCTCTCTGCTGGCCTTGTAGGCCGTGGGCACACCCCGAGCTCTTGTCGCTTTGTCTGGGCAGCTGCTGCGTCTCTAGACCGGCTCTGCTGTCCCCCCCCCTTCTGTGGCAAGGCGCCCAGCCTGCTCCATCCATCAATGCCCCCCTGACAGGCACTTCCTGTCCCGATGGAAATGGTCTTCAGGCCACAGGGTTATGCGAAGGGCACAGCTGCAGGAGGCGGGGCGCCGCTTGGCCTGGAGACAGCCGCAAATACACGGCCAGGCCAGGACAGCTGGTCAAGCATGCTGCACATTGGCAACGGAGCCAAACAACAGGGACCCCAAGCGTATGTAGTACGCAGAAATATAAACCACAAGGGGTAGACCATCCAAAGATACACAGCTTTCACAAGTCAACAGTAGGCATCAGTCTATTGCAGTGGTGGTGAACCTATGGCACGGGTGCCAGAGGTGGCACTCAGAGCCCTCTCTGTGGGCACGCGTGCCATCGCCCCAGCCAGGCCCAGACCAGCATTAAAGTGTGGAATTCTCTGCCAAATAATTTTAAGTAAACGAAAGCATTTGGGATTGCTTTCCTTACTTTGTTTGGATCATCTTAAGTTAATGTATGGGTTGTTTTTTCTAAAGTAACACCTCAGTATTCAGGTTCAATTGCCGTGTTGGCATTTTGCGATCAATAAGTGGGTTTTGGGACGCAGTTTGGGCACTCGGTCTCTAAAAGGTTCGCCATCACTGGTCTATTGCAACACAATAACAATGACTTGAAGATACAAAAGAACCGGTGGTCACAAAAAAAGGCAGAAGATTGCTTTGAAACGTCTGGCATATCTGGGAAGGGCGTTTTTGGCTGTTATGATTTCATCTGTGCTTTGGGACATCCTCTGACTTTTGAGGTCTTTTGGACACTATTCTATTCAAAGGATACAGAGGTGTCTCTTGCTGGATATTTTCCACTCTCATCAAGTTGTATTTTGAATTGGCAAATGGTGTTTTTGAATTTTGACCATCAATTCTTTTGCTTCTTCAATTTACTATTATT